AGAGCAGCTGAACCGATTTCGCTAATTCTTATTTTATAATATTACTTGAAGTACGAAAAAGGTTCTTACGGAGAGAAAAATTAAAAAAATTGCCTGAAAAGTCTAAAAACAACACTTTTCTACATTCCCATACAAAGATTCGTAATAATACTTAAAAGTCAATTTGAACTTTAATACCATACCATAAAGTTTAAGTGTTAGTGGAGGGGTTCTGGGAAGGCAAAACAATTCAGTGACGTTAGTATACGTAATACTAATGTCAATATTTGTCAATTAGAATAAGTAAAAATAAAATGAAATATAATAAGTAGGTATCATAATAAGAAAACAGAAATTGTAATTTTCATTGTGATTTTTAGTGACTATTAAAAGAATTCTAAGTGTTTTATAATTTTTATTTTTTGACATAATGTAATATTGTTGACTTATCAACTTTCTTTTTTCTTTTTTATCTTACTAGCAAATAACATGTTTTCGTGTCTGATTCAATGATATTTTACAAATCATTGGTTTGATTTGGTAAATTACTATTACCGGAGTATTAGCGTAAACAAATAATAATAAACGCGAATGCTATAATTTCCTAACTTTATTTTAAGTAAAATTAATCAAGTAATGGGGTCTAACGTTATTTTATAAGAATAATTATACATTTTTAATTATATGATTTAAAATTTACGTATAATTTATTTTATATTCATGGAAGTCCGACAGTTTGTAAACCATAATATCAACTGTCATCCGAGTACCGGCCACCTTCCTTTTCGGATATCGGTTACTCTGGTTCTACTGCGGATATCCTCATCTCTAAGTTTATCATGCAGTAAATCCCGAGTGACCTTAGGCTTACTCATATGGCCTGCTGTGAAGGTTGGAAGGTGCTCATATACATGAATCATCAAATAAAATTACTGGCTGGATTACCTTCAAGTTTTGAGGTTTAAGATGTGATGTGATGATCGTAATCTCCCATGAACTCACTTAATATGCTCATAATATCAAGAAGACTTCTAAATTCACGTATTGTGACGGGCAACTACGGAACCCTGTGGGTTGGGCCGCGTATAATGTAGAGAGGTTATTAGAGGTTTTTTAATACTGATTCAAGTCGATTTCAAAAGTAAATCAGGACTATTTACTTCTAAACTACGTTTAATACTCCCCTTTTTTCTCATTACAATTTGTGATATGTACGAATATTAAAATATTGTTACTTTTACAATGATGACTTTGTGTTATTTTAATGATCTAAAACAAATTGAAATTATTATAATAATTTTTTTATATTTTTTTATAAAACTTAACATTACTCTTAATATTTTACTAGTATTATGCGATTACTTAGAAAATATAATTTTAATTTTTAACGAAAAAAATAGAGTTTTATGTCTTTGCTTTTGTGTAATCTATTAATAATAATATAAGTACCGCAATAATTTTGTAATAGTACAATTTTGTCTCATAACCAGTCACAGAGAATAATTAAAGCAGAAATAGAACACTGGAATAGAGTATTGTTATGAATTGCCACAATCATCAAAATGTTGGTTAAAAATGGCTTGGCTTTTCAAGGTATTTCTGATATTTTTTTTATAGGATAAGGGTGACAAACGAGCACACAGTCCACCTGATGGTAAGTGGTTGCTGCGGCCCATAGACATCTACATCTATCCTCTGTTACAAATCAAAATGTAGATGCGTTGTCACCCGTGAGGACTAAGATGGAATGCCTCATTTCCAGTAAAAAGGGCCTCCGGCTACCTGCACTCACCAAGCGAAACGCAGAGGTAAACCTCTACTTCACGCTGGTTTTCTGTGAGGTCGTGGTACTACCCCGGTTCGAGCCGGCCCATCCGTGCGACAACAAAAACTGCCGCGTGGCGCTACCACTATTAAAAAAATATAATGATAATCTGTATTAACATAACAATGGTAATTTTTTAAAACTAGTAGAGTTGTAAGCCGAATTTGATCCCGATATGCAGGAACATGTACGCAGAGTCTTGAAAAAAGACGAGAAACAAGCAACCTACTTAAGTAAAACAATTTAAAATGAGTTCATAAATCCAATTTCAGACGGCATAAAAAAACATATTAAGGAAGCTATCATTACATTGAAATATTATTCTATTATTTTAAATTGTACTCCAGATGCTAGCAAAACTGAGCAGATGAATATGATAATTAGGTATATTTCTATTATTCAATCCTAAGACCATTCAAGAACGTCAGAGATTGTAATAAATAAAAGTTTTTTAGGATTTATACCAATAGAGAAATCTACAGGTCTGGCACTAACAGAAATTATCGTGGAACAATTATCAGCACTTGGATTGTCTTTAGAAAACATAAGAGAACAAGGGTACGATAATGGATCTAATATGAAAGGTATTCAAAGTGGCATCCAAGCCAGGATTAAAAACATCAATCCACGGGCATTTTACGTTCCTTGCAGTAGTCATTCTTTAAACTTAGTGTAAACGACATGGCAAAGTTCTCACTGGAAGCTACAATTTTTTTTAATGCTGTACGAAAAATATATGCTTTTTTTCCACTTCAACATTAAGGTGGTCAATTCTTTTGAAGAATGTAAAAGGTATTACTCTAAAAGCACTTAGTGAGACGAGATGGGAAAGTCGAATCGAAGCAATAAAACCACTAAGACATCAAATAGGACAAGTTTACGATGCATTGTTTAGTGTTTACCAAAACACAGATAATATGAGCCTCCTCCTCCACACGAGACGAAACTTCAGGTTTGTTGAACCAAATTAAACAGTTTTAATTTTTACGTTCTATTATAATTTGGTACAAAACTTTGAATCGCATAAACCCTGTTAGTAAATTAATACAAAGTAAAAATTTTGACTTAGTTTCCGTGATTAAATTACTTAGAAATACAAAAGATTTCTTTGAAAACTCACGTTCATATGAGTATTTTACTCAAGTTCTTGAAGATGCCAAAGCCTTAGCTTCTAAAATTGATTGCGAAGTATTATGGCTCCAGTACACGTTGGCCGAGCGCGCTCGATTTCGAGCGGCAGATTTTCGTGGTGCCGTTCACACGTTGGCGTGTTTCATTCTGCGTTGGTAGCTAGATGATGATGGACGTTAGGGTGATCGCGACCTCTGTCATATACTTATACAGCGCTTCACTCTTCTCAGAGTGAACGAAAAAAAAACTACACATACAACAATAATCCCAGTTTGTCCTTTTTAGGGTTCCGACCTCAAAAGGAAAAAAAGAAACTTTTATAGGATCTACTAGCTGACCCGTGCCCGCTTCGCTGGGGGTTTCTTCAAAATAAAATATAGCCCAAAAGAAGCCCCTAAGCTACATTATCCCTGAGCAACATAAACGCAGAGATAATTTATAATAATATTTATCATTAGGTAGGTACTCTGAAATCGCAACTAAACATGTATTATTATATGCAGTTAGGCAAGTTACTCTGGTTTTATTTTTATGTTGCTCATGTTTGGGGTCCCATATAACTGATTCATTGTGAGGATCAATCAATGAACAATGAATCAATATTTCACTACATAATTATATAAGTAACATTAAAAATGTATTATATTGAATTATATATTTTTTCATAATATATAATATTTATTTTTATATATATATATATATATATATATATATATATATATATATATATGTGTGTGTGTATATATATATATATATATATATATATATGTGTGTGTGTATATATATATATATATATACATGTATATATATATATATATATATATATATATATATATATATATATATATATATATATATATATATATATAAGCCTTTGTTTTTTCCAGACAATATTTCCCGCTTTCGAAAATAATCTTTCGTTTGGCTCGGAACTGGCCATCACAGAGAGGTGTTTAAGAGCCAATTCGGTTAGTTGAGGCAAAGTTCTTTCAGTCTTGAGATTTGATAGTGGAGCCGCAATATATAGGTCCAATTCAGTATTTTTGCCTATTTTTTACATTATAAAATAATTCTGTCAGCCACTTTTAGGTGTTTTACAAGACATTTTTATTGTTTAACAATTATTTACACTCTCCAAAGAAAGAAAGAAACCACAGAATACTTTTACTCATAGCAAAAATATCGACTTTTCAAAATCGATTAGTAAAAAAATTATCGTTTAATATTAAAATCGATTATTTTTTCACAAGCCAACACAAGTTTGTGGTGTAGTCACATAAACACTCACGCTTTTCTTACTTCTTAATAACTGGCTTTACGGCTCTGGGATCTAGCCCTTCTGAGGCTGAAGTTAAAATATATCATAGTTATCCTTTATAAATACACTGCTTCACAATATGTTTGATGCGTCAGATTGTGCAGCCCTTGGGAGATTTTGACGGCAACTTGAGCCAGCTGACAGCTGACGGTTGGCGATGGTATCTCAAGACGCCTAAGCAGACAGACACCTTATTTTGAGAATCACATCACCATCAGAGCACTTGTTTCACAGTTTCCACTAATAGTTCACATGCGCAGACATTTAATACACAAAATCGCACCGCTTTTACGTATCAAAGTCCACTTTAAACCATTATTTAAACAATAATACAGGAGCAGCAAACCACCGCCGGTGAAGTTCCCGCCAAAAACCCCCGTGTTGTAGTCTCTAAGCTTCTATCAAAAAGAATATAATATAACCAATAGGTACGTTTATGGTCTCTCGGTAGAGAGCACAGACTAATATGATACTAGAGAGTAATTGTGTTTCTGTGTCTGTGTTTATGTTTATGGTCTCTATGACTTTTGACTTTTTCATCGACGTTCGACGCCTAAAAAGAATATTCAAGATTCAAGAGAAATATAATTTCACTTTTTCGTGTGCGATAAAATTACTTTAAAGGTAATAAAATCCTAAACATTATGTAACATTGCAATTGATATATCGTATATTCTATATTTTTCTGTTAATCTACTTAATAGTATTACGACATTATTAAATCTGTTTACCGGTAGGTCAACAAAGATGAGTTGCCCTTTCAACGAAGAGCAGTTGCTGCAGTTACAAGCATTTGTTGAGTTATGTAAAACTCAGCCACAAATTATACATCATCCGAAACTCGCGTTTTTTAAAGATTACCTGGTGTCACTTGGAGTTACTTTACCGGCAGCTACATTTGGCACTAAGCACTTTACTGCATCAGGAGACGGGTATGATTTATACTTTTTTAATTATTTATACTCTCATATTTTGACGTCTAATGATAGTTTCTGAAAAATAGAAAAACATCTTATATCTTTATTAACTAAAATGAACAACAAATAACAATCATCCTTGGAAGATGTTTATATTAACTACCCCTAACTAAAATATTTAAATGGAAGATCAGAGAAGAGAACTTCACTGACTCATTTTCGCCCGTCAGAATTACATATATTTTTTTTATAAATCTTTAAACATTTCATAAGTGGCAATTTGAAGCATTTTAGTAAAAGTTAGAAGGTAAGGACCCCTTGCCATAACCCTCCCTGGTTAAGGTTTAGAATCAAGTCGCCTTAATAAGGGGGTGGGGCGAGGGCATAGGGGTAGATTCGCCATCACCTTTTCCCCCCACTAGACGAGCCTATTTTTTGTATTAAATGTTGAAGATTAAAAGTTTTATTGAATGATTTCTTAGAAAAATCACTTTAATAGGAAGGGGGTGCATCACCCCTCCGCAGAAGTAATACCCAAGTGTAATCGATTGAGCCCCGCTTGGTGGGGCTCCTATTTCTGGATGGTGTATTAAAAAATAACTACGAAGGGTATAAAAGGGTCTGTTCACTTGCTCACTCAACCCCGCCATCCCCTTCTAACCTAACCTGTCTGAATGGGGTGCCCCAAGTCAAGAGTTAGCTTTGCTAGCTCTTGCACCAAATAAAACACCATAATGTTAATTTTAAAATTATTTCAATAAGTAAACAAATTTTGTTACTTCCACAATTTCCAAAAAGTCAATAATAACAATAAGGAGCACATTCACGTAAACTCGGAAGCAATGGAATGCTGCTTATGACGCAAGTCACAAAGTCTAGTATCACACTCACTGTAAATGTCTACTTAAAAACTTAAAGAGAAGAATTAAGTGCTGTTTCAGGTATTAATTAGTAATTTAGGAATATTTTTGGAAAATTATTTTAAATATTTCGTAGCAGTTCCGGTAACTAAAATTGCATGGGGGTGCTTGAGGCAAGCCTCCTTGAACACCCCCCCCCCCCCTTCCCGGTGACTAACTCCTCAAATTCAGGTGACTCGATTCTAAACCCAACCCTTAAAAATGATTATTTTTTATAATAATAACTGTCTAAATTAGTTTACAGCAAATCTGCAGTCAAAAGCACTTTGTTACCGGCCATTTTAAGTCTTTCTTTATTAGTTTTCCTAAACCCAGGAATTAGATGTTTGCTGCTTTGGAATATTAATTATAGTGTAACGACTGATATACATGATCCCAAACGGTGATCCCAGCAACACAGGAACACAGGAAACCAGCAGACTGGGTTGGGGGTAGCTAGCGTTTTTCCCCAATACATCTGTAATTTTTTATGTGTAAATTTAAACAATAAACTAACAATTTCACACACACAGAGAGATAAATTTTAACAACATTGCTGGGTGACAACTACAATGACAACTCTGTAACAGATATGGACCAGTGGCTCGTCTAATCTGCTTATTATATGAGGGCAAGCGGCTGTTTTGGTATACAAATTTGTAACAACACAACTGTTATTATTGTAATTCTTAGTTTTGTGATTGAAAAATTTCATAAAAATGTGATTAAAAATTCCATATTTATGAAGAGTAACGCCATCTTTTTGTAAAGTTGATGTGGCAGATCTCTTTTTGCAGCAAAAAAACTGAACAATTTGGCACTTTTGTAGGGTGTTGTTTCAGCCGCATAACTAGATGTAGTCTAGTGTGCAGTGCGGCTGCAACTAGTTTTATTGTATGCATAGGACCACATTGATTTATACTTTGACAGAGGGGAACACCTGTGTATGGCTACTCCCCTGAAATTTGCCGTGGCTTGTGTTGCTCTATGGGTGATCCTTTACAGTTAGTACATGTTTTTAATCTAGTTAAACTAGCTAACGAATAACTAGTTTAGCCAAGAAAAATTACTTTGTTCCTAAATTGGTTATATACTATAAATAAACAACAAATTAATGTATTTAAGTGAAATAATCTTTTTTTGACATTAATGTTTTGATTGATTGACACAATATAGGACTAGACTAACTAAACCCCTTATAAAAATTTCACCCTTCAAATTGATTGTAGGTTTTGTATTTATACAGTTGTGCCTTTGTGCTTAATATGGTGGATTTAAAATGTACTCAAGTAATGGTGTGTTATGATTATGTATGTTAACGGCTCCATGGTGCAGTGGCTTAACAATTAGTTTGTTGCGCTAGGTGCCGTGGGTTCGAAGCACGCATGGAACAAGTATTTGTATGGCCTACATATAATTGTTCCGTGTCTGGGTGTTTGTCCTCGTGCAATTTATGTTTGTAAACTACCTCCACAATACAGGAGAAAATCCTAATGTGGGGGTAATGTTTTTAAAAAAAAATAAAAAAACATTGTTATATAGGTACATATGTGTAGATTGAATAAAAATAAACAGGAAAGGTAGCCGATCTCCATGGAGACTAGCCATCTGATTAGAACATAATTATAATGAGTATGTAAGCAAGCACAGATGCACTCTATTATCTCACTCTGATAGCTAGATGAGATGACAATCTGACATAAGCAGATAGAAACCAGGACCAAAGGCTTTATATGGTTTCCGAGGCACGAGAGTAATACACTGCCAACTCCCCGACTCCAGGCTGCTACTGAGAAATTCTTGACAGAAAAACCGAATAATTGATTTTGGCTTGACTCAGAATTCAAACCCAGAACTTCATGATCAGTAGTTATGCTAACAACCACTTAGACTAATGAGGCAGTTTAGAAAGTAAAAGTAGTAACTAATTTGGCATATGACTGTTAAGATGTCTTTACAATGAGAAAGGGAACACGGAACAGTGATTGGTCACTAGGGGAAGTGTGGGGACAGAGTCGGGGTGCGGGCGCCGAAACTGCATTCCTTTCAAGTGCCAGATTGTTTTGGTCAAGTTGTAATAGCTATTATCATTTATTTTGATAATGGTAACTAATGTCATAATTTCTAAACTGCACATGGTAGCACATAGTAGCACAAAAGTAGTCATAATTACATAAATAATTTGCATAAGAATAAACATCCAGAACCTGAACAATTATTTGTAGGTCACACAAATATTTGAGATTGTCTGACTGCAACTCAATTCTAAGTTACTGTGCTACACAGCTACTGTCAAGAATGTACTAAAGGATTAACAGATTGCATATATTCACTATCCTGGACACTTTATAACCACAGAATGTATTGCTTGCACTGATAATGTTGTTCCACATCACCGGTGTGTGAAATTTAATTTTTAATTTTTACAGTTTGCAATTTTAGAAAATAGGTATATAACAACTTTACACCTGTATATTATCATAAAATACTTAAATTTTATTTTTAGAGCTACAAATGAAAATCAAGCTGCTGAAAATGATTCTTCAGAGGAAGAATCTGAGCCAGAATCCGATGTTGAATTGAACATGGAAGGTATACTGCCCATTTTTTCATTTCTTTTACATGGTAAACATAATATGGTGTGCTTTTTCTATACCAAATGTAACATTGGTGAAGACATTATGAAATTATTTGTAAATTAATGTTTGATAGAATCTTAAGGTATAAAATGAAAACACATTGCAGAAAATATAGAATACTTCCTATTATTTTGAGCTTTTGAGTTTTGTGATTGTGATGTGTTTAGAATAGCCTATGTTCAGTAGTTGACATATGCAAGGCTGTAATCATTGATGTGACTTTGGGGTGAATAACCTTAAACTTGATGAAAAAAAGACGGGGAGTGTTAGGTGTACAAGTGTCGTTGTGTTTTTGGCTATTTCTTATTCTGAGAGCTGTTGATTTACTTTTTTGTTTATTATTTTTATTGGTGTTGGTTTTAGTAGTTATAAATCCGTAAGTATTTAGTAATTGTGCTGTTTTATATGTAATTAGTTAAAATAAAATGGAGCAAGATCCTCCCGATCCCGACGGGGTTCCATGTGATTCCCATACTGTTACCAAAAAACATAATAATATGCCTATCGAAATTGATCAGTCGAAGCGTAATAGATTGCAAGTAACCAATAACTCAGCTCATCCTCAGAAAAGATTAATTACAGATCCATCTCAACCTGTACCATCTATTCATACCTCTTAAACCATCCTGACTACATAGAAAAAAAACATAAATATTCTAATAACGACAATGCGCCGTTTATTGTTCATGTAAGTAAGAGAGTAGATGATTTATCAACTGGAATAGTTTTAAAACCGATAAAATTTGGTCATTTTCTCTACCATAATAATATTAAAAATGTTGTTAGTGATGGTGTTAAGCGAATAGGATGCAATAGAATTTCTGTCGAGTTTAAAAGTGCAGCTGATGCAAATTGTTTTATTGAGAACCCAACCCTTGCAGGTGCTAAATATGATACTGTAATCCCTTCTTATAATGTCATACGCATGGGAATAGTGAGGCAGGTCCCTGTAGAGTGGACATAAGAGGAACTCATATCATCAATCGAGGTCACAGCTGGTTTTGGCTCAATTATTAAAGATTCCCTCTCAAACAGTTGTTTTAACTTTTTCCGGCCAGAAACTTCCTTCTAACATTTATTGTTTTTTCACCTCAATGCCTGTTGAGCCCTACATTTTACCTCTTATTCAATGTCACAAATGTTGTCGTTTTGGACACGTAACCTCACAGTGTAGGTCATCTTCCCGTTGTTTTGTGTGTGCTCAAAATCATGAAGGAATATCATGCACAAGACAGTCTCCCACTTACCTATTTTGTTCAGGATCTCACACGGCTGAAGATCCTTCCTGCCCTGAACACTCTAGGCAGAGATCTATTAAACTTACCATGTCACAGGAAAATATTTCCTATCTTTTTTTTTTTTTATAGGATCGGGTGACAAACGAGCACACAGTCCACCTGATGGTAAGTGGTCACTGTGACCCATAGACATCTACATCTATCCTCAATAAAGACTCAAGATGCAGATGCGTTGTCACCCGTGAGGACTAAGATGGAATGCCTCTTTGCCAGTAAAAAGGGTCTCCGGTTCTCTACACTCACCATACGAAACACAGCAGCGTTAAGCTGCTATTTTACGCCGGTTTTCTGTGAGAGCGTGGTCCTTCCCCGGTCGAGCCGACCCATTCGTGCTACAACCATAATATAGCTGCAGCATGGCTCTAGAAGCATCTGCCCGTTTCCCTCAAGTCCGAAGATCTTATGCAGATGCTACTTGAATCCTTCCTTCGTATGATCATCAGAGTCTCTATCCTATTTCAAATTCCACTTTACCTTCAGTTGTCCCCTCACAATCTCATTCTTACAGGAAAACTACATTTACTCCAAGACTTCCGCCAAATCCAGCATCAAGTCATGGATATGATAAATCTCTGCCCATGAGGCAATAATAGATACCCCTTCTTCTTCAACTACTAATGGTTGTGCTTTAATAGGGCGGAGTATTTCCCCTAATGACAGTCTCTGTGAGTTAATGATCTCCATGCTTATAAGTATGCTTTCCCGTTTCAGCGATATGGATCTCCCACTTGCCCTCCGCCAAAAACTTACTGAGCTCATTTCATTAACAAATAACCTTCCCTCCAATACTTCAGTGGAACTGCCGGAGCATTAATAATAAGAAAAATGAATTAATTTACCTTATTAATAAATACCATCCCCTCATCCTAGCCATCCAAGAGACATGGCTAAAGCCTGGGTCCCATTTTAGGATCTCAGGTTATTCATGCCTCAGGGATGATAGGAATGATGGTCATGCTGGCTCTTTCATTCTTATCTCAAAAGCAATTATTTATACATTAATTTCCCTTCCTTCTCATAGTCCTTCAATTAATGCTGTAGCAGTTAGAGCTCATAACACTTCTTTTCTCTCTATTTACAGTCCCGAACCTAGTTTAAATATCTTGTCAGAACTTACGAGGACTATATCCTCCATCCCTCCTCCTATGGTAATTCTTGGTGATTTTAATATGCACCATACTTTATGGGGCTCCCATTTTTGTGATCCCTGGTCTTCTACATTTTTAGACATCATTGATGATTTAGATCTCTGCCTCCTTAACGATGGTTCACCTACACGTAAATTATCCCCCCTCCAAAATCCTAAAAGTGCAGTAGATCTGTCACTCTGTTCTCCTGCCCTGTCGTCCCTTCTTTCTTGGAGAATATTACCCTTTTCCCATGGCAGTGATCATTTCCCTATTGTTATTAATCCCCCTAGCTCCTATACAGTCAATGTTCCATTTAATCCTAGGTTAAAATATAACACATCCAAAGCAAACTGGCAACTATATTCCACAGTTCTAGAGGAAGAACTATCAGCCCTTCCTCCTGTTCAGAAAGATAATGTTCTTCAGGTGTATTCTACTTTTAAAAATTCTATTTTATCTGCTGCCAATAAGACAATCCCCATCAAAAAACCTTATAAAAATAATGCTCCTTCACCACCTTGGTGGGATCAAGATTGTTCTGTAGCATGTAAGAAGAGAAAGGAAGCTGAAGTAAGATATTCCCTCTCTATGAATTTTGACAACTATATTTTTTATAAAAAAAACTGCTGCTGAAACATTAAAATTATTATCGGGGAAGAAAAAGGCTGGATGGCTTAAATTCTGTGAGTCCCTGTCGCCTAGGACTCATCCATCATTAGTCTGGAAAAATATTAAAAGATTCCGATGTTCAGTTTTGGCCTCTGAAAACACAATTTCTAATGATCAGTCTTATTGGCTAGAAAATTTTGCTAGTATCTTGCTCCTCCTTCAGTACCATCTTACAATGAAAGTATAGCATTTCAATCACAGTCCTTGCACTATCAACACAGTTTTGACTCCCCTTTCTCTTATGAGGAGTTATATGCTGTTCTTAGTGTCCTTAAAGACTCTTCACCAGGAATCGATGGTATTCCTTATTCTTTTATTACTAATAGCAGTGAATCTACTAAAGCCCATCTTCTTTCTATTTTAAATTGTATTTACATGTCCGGTATTCCTCCTGAAGAATGGAAATCCCAAGTTATTTTACCTATTTACAAACCAGGTAAGCGTCACACTGATCCCTCAAGCTACCGCCCTATTGCTCTTTCTTGTACCAAAATTCTTGAACATCTAATAAAAAATCGTTTAGAATGGTTTCTTGAAAGCAAAAACCTTCTAGCAAAAAGCCAATTTGGATTCCGAAAGGGCTTAAGCACCATGGATAGCCTTAGTACTCTAGTTACTGATATTCGTATAGCTTACTCTAAACATGAATACCTTGTTGGAGTCTTTCTAGATATCTCGTCTGCATATGACAATGTACTTCTTCCTGTGCTCAGGCAAAAAATGCTTAATCTGAGTATTCCAGTGAGGATAGTAAATTTTGTGTCTAACTTTCTCTCTTCTAGATCCATTTATATTGATAGTCAAAATTCTCTACTCCCACCAAGAATTGTATGGAAGGGTCTCCCACAAGGCTCAGTACTTAGTCCTTTTCTCTATTCTATCTATACTTATGATCTAGAACTTTCTGTTAACTCATTCTGTAACATCTTCCAATATGCAGACGATATAGCTATATATATTTCCTTGGATAACCTTGCTACAGCTTGTTCCCGCTTGAATTTATCAATGTCCTATTTACAAGATTGGTTAACTGATCATGGTTTGTCCTTGTCTGTTCCCAAAAGCAGTGTTGTCATCTTCTCTCGCCATAGGCAACTCCCTGAAATCGACATTCGCTATAATAATGAACCTATCCCTATTAGGGAGAATGTAAAATTTTTGGGAGTTATTCTTGACTCCAAACTCATCATATCAACTACGTCTCAAAAAAATATGTAAAAAATATAAATATTCTTCGCGCTTTATCGGGAGTTTGGTGGGGCTCCCACCCATTCTCTCAAAAAATATTGTACAACACCCTTATTCGTAGTCATTTGGATTATACGTGCTTTGTCTTGGAACCATGTAATAAGTCTTCCCTAAAGATCCTAGACAGGATTCAGACGAAAAGCCTTCATATAATCATTGGGCAATGAAATCTTCCCCAATAAATGCTTTCCAAGTCGAATGTGTAGATCCTCCTCTTTACCTAAGAAGACAATATCTTTCCGACCGATTCTTTTTTAAAATCTATCAACTCTCTTCCCATCCTCTCATTTCTAAACTACACCTTCTTTTGGAATATATTTCATCAAAGCATTACTGGACTCATAAAGAATCTCCCTGCTTATCCAACAGTTTGGTAACATTACTCCATCTACCACACCCAGTATCACAATGCAAGTCCTGTCCCATCTTTGATATCCCATATGATGCAATTATTTTCCAACCAAATATCCACCTCGACCTTGGTATTGAGAAAGATTGCCCTATAGCAAATAGTAAACTAAGTAGAGTCATAGATAATTTATGGAAAGGCTGGCTTATTATATACACTGATGCCTCCAAAAAGTCAGGTGAAAGTTGCACTGGAGCAGCAGTTTGGATTCCCAGATACAAAATAATCCTCAATTTTAAATGCCCTTCTATTTCTTCCACTTTTACTGGCGGGGCCACGGCAATTTATGAAGCTTTGATTTATATAGAAGCACACAACTTAAATAAGTCAGTTATTCTTACCGACTCCAAAAGCTGTTTGTTAGCAATTTTATCAAACCAGTTCCAAAGTAAATATAAGATACCCTTGATCCTCAAAATTAAACACACATTGTATAGATGTCATCTCAAGGGCATTCAGGTTTCCTTAGCTTGGATTCCAGGTCATAGTGGCATCAAGGGCAATGAAACAGCTGATCTGATGGCTAAAAATGCAAGTCAAAATGGTTTGCCATGTAATTTAATTTATTCTTCAGACATAGTGTTACTTGCAAAGAAGAAGTTAAGTAATAATTGGAACACATTATGGAAAGCCACTCAAAATATAAAAGGTAAACACTATGCTGCTATACAATGTGCCATCCCTCCAAAACCATGGTTTTTCAAATTTAATAAAGCTAACAAACAGTCAACATCAACTATTTGTAGACTTAGAATTGGCCATGCTTGTACACCAGTACATTTAGCCAAACTGAGGATTAGGGATAGTTCCCTCTGCGAATGTGGGTTAGATGAGGGAACCTCAGACCATATTTTTTTTAACTGCCCTAAATTATCTTGTTCACTCTATGATCATCTCCCTCCTGACATCCCTCGTCCTATAAATTTTGATTCACTTTTAACCTACACAAATACTCCTTATGTATATATTCTGTGTGATTTTATTAACACTAATAGTATAAAAGTTTAATGTTTGTCAATACTAATATACTAATGTAGTTATAGCAACTGTGTTTGTCATTTGTTTTAGGTAATTCAACAGTACAACCACTAGTATTACAAGATAAAAAAGGAAAATTTAATTGTTTAAATAAAACAAGACTTATCTTTTATTATCACAATCTTCTTTAGTACATGGGCATAGTATTTGTAATTACTGAGCTTGTACTCAATAAACACTTCCACGCTGACATTGGCGAATAATCAAAAACCGCCATAAAAAAAGAAAGAAGAACCTTAAACTTGTCTGGTTGCTTTTTCTATAGAATAATTTTTGTTGTACGATAACAAACGAGCACACAGTCCACCTGATGGTAAGTGTGGTTGTGTTGGCCTATAGACATCTACATCTATCCTCGATTACGTAACAAAATGCAGATGCGCTGTCACCCGTGGAAACTATGATTGAATGCCTCGTTTCCAAGTAAGTAAGTAAAAAGGATCTCCGGTTCTCTACACTCACCATACGAAACACAGTAGCATTAAGCTGCTATTTTACGCTGGTATTCTGTGACAGCGTGGTCGAGTCAACCTATTCGTACTACAACTATACTACTAATATAGCTGCAGCATGGCTCTACCTGCTTCACCTCCCATCTACAAAGAAAAACCAGTTCATAATCTTATGGAATATTTATTTTTTATATTTCGATTATTTTTGTGTGTGGCGTATGACACGCGAGTCGTGTCTTTTTAAAAATCGTTATAACTCGCTCAAATTGCGTTTTTGGAAAATTTATCCAGAACAAAATATTCATTATTTTGCTAGTAGTGACAAAACCGATTTGGAACTTGCTAAAACAACACAGAAAAACTTTTTATTTTCAATGTAATTTTGGGTAAAGATTTGGATATTTTTGTTGTGAATGTTGAGTGGCACGGGGAACATCTTCATGTATAAAAAAGGATTAATTTTCTCATGCTAAATTATGAAGAAGGCTCTTTTGTTGTAATTATCGTTAGTACTACAACTATCGATACACCATATATATATATATATATATATGATATGATTCCCTATATATATAAATGAAATTTTAATATTGACCAAAAAAAATGCTAACCACTTCACAAAACAACATAATAATTGTGGTGGTATGAGAAGGTACCCGTGGCAGTTATCTGTACCCCAGGCAGCCACAACTTGTTTTACTAGAAATAGTTATAGCATGTGCGTTCGATTATTTAATTTACTTCCAAACCATATTCAAAACTTGACATTTCATCTGTTTAAAAAACTTATTTTCGGGACTCTCATTGAAAACTGTTTTTATGACGTAAATGAATTTATTAAATTCTGCCGTGACGGTCTCAAGCGAATTGTTGTTATTTGAAATTTTAAATTGACAAATGAATTAGAATTTGTAAGATTGACATTATACTAGTTTAACATTATGCATTATGACATGACCATGCCTGTATATTTTTTATTTTTTTTTCTCTTTTTACATAATAAATTTATTGACATTATATCGCTTTATTAAATTTTGATATGAAACGTTATTGTAATTTTGTAATTTTAATTATTCAATTATTGCATGTCGACTTAATATTTGCACACTGATAAATCGGTAAAACATGCATGTTCACACTATATTATAAGACCTAAAAATGTACCATGTTTTATGCAAATAAATATTTTATTATTATTATTATTACTGGCCACAAACATTAGTGAATGCTATTAAAATAAAGTTTTTTTTTCAGCATGCGGCTCACCTGATTGTAAATGACAACTGCTGTGTATGAACAACTGCAACACCGGGCATTTGCAGTTTGCAGACGCGTTGCCGGCATTTAAAAACGAATAGGCTCTTTTCTTAAAGGTACCTAAGTCGTATTGGTCCGGAAAAATTGTTGGTGGTAATTCTTTCCACAAGGAGATTGTGCTAGGAAGAAAACTTCTAGTAAATTGCAGTGGTGGACCGTGGATTGTATCGCTAGTTTTGTCGCGATGTGTGATGTTGAAATTTAGCGGCTGGAATTAGTCCTAACAAGTCCTTTAAGCACTCCCCGTGGTAGATGCGATAGAATATGCAAAGAGATGCAACATATCTAGATTCCAATTTGGCCTTCCCTTCCACTAGCGATACAATCCACGGTCCACCACTGCAATTTACTAAGAGTTTTCTTCCTAGCACAATCTCCTTGTGGAAAGGATTACCACCAACAATTTTTCCGGACCAATACGACTTAGGTACCTTTAAGAAAAGAGCCTATTCTTTTTTAAATGCCGACAACGCGTCTGCAAACTGCAAATGCCCGGTGTTGCAGTTGTTCATACACAGCAGTTGTCATTTACCATCAAGTGAGCCGCATGCTGAAAAAAAAACTTTATTTTAATAGCATTCACTAATGTTTGTGGCCAGTACTCACGATAATTACAACAAAAGAGCCTTCTTCATAATTTAGCATGAGAAAAATAATCCTTTTTTATACATGAAGATGTTCCCCGTGCCACTCAACATTCACAACAAAAATATCCAAATCTGTACCCAAAATTACATTGAAAATAAAAAGTTTTTCTGTGTTGTTAGCAAGTTCCAAATCGGTTTTGTCACATACTATGAAATTTAATACAACTGCTAAAGTTTATAATTTTATCTTCATCAATTTAGTTTTTTGACCTCTTGTTTTATGTAATAATCCACTCCAGAACAGTTATTATAAATTTTGTAAAATATTTTAAAACAGGTGTAATCGAAGGAGACCCAATTGACAACGATCAGATTATGGGTGACCAAACCAAAGAACCTACAGATGAAGACCGTGACCTGTCTGATGAAAAACGTACAGAAGCTATGAAAGCTTTTGCTGAACAACAATATGAAAAAGCTATCAAGCTATACACTGAAGCTATTGAACTTAATCCCCAAAGTGCATTATTATTTGCAAAGAGAGGGCAGGTAAGTCTTTTGAGAAGAGTATTATAGCCATTTCAAATTAAAATTCTGCCTAATAAATATCATCTGTCTTATCACAACTCAAAATAATAAAATATGCGATTGGCAAGCATGGAAGCTATGGCAAATATTCGATATTTGATCGATTATCGAATGATCGATTGAAGTTAAGTAGTAATTAAACCAATTTTGAGGGTAAAGATAAAAGTAGTTTTGATGGCTTAGAAAAGCTGATCATTAAGTAAAGAATGTTTTGAACTCAAGGAAGATATTGATAAGAAAAAATTGTGTAAATTTAGAATTCTTTCTTTTGAACCTTCCCTGGAATAACAATATCTCCGAGTTTAATTAACATAAGTGCTTCCATTTTTTTTTTCTTATGATAACTATACATTCAGCACAGTAGTCAAAAACATAATTATGTTCTGTTTTTAAAAATGGACCCATACTATCAATTTACTTATTTAATGAAGACATTTTATCTCCGATCACACTTAATCTCATGGCTGTTAGACGGGAGATGAAGCTATATTCTTCAGCAGATTTGACAGCATACAGGCAACTGAACAGACAGATCTCCAAATGCATGCGGCGGGACTTGCACAACTTCAATATGCTTGTATTGAAGAAGCGATCGAGCGGAACCAAGGCTCCAAAGTCTTTGCCAGAGATCTGTCTGCCATAAAGAGCCAACTGTCAAAGCTGAAGACCGAATGTGGCAGCATCGTTTCCGGGACACCTGAGATTTTGAGTGAGATTGAGAGGTTCTATGGGCAGCTGTACACGTCGTCGTTGGAGCCACACGCAAGTGTGAGTAACGATCCAAGAGCGAGTCTTATCCGACACTATTCCGAAGATATCCTGGACGTCAGTCTGAGATTAGAATGGCTCTCCAGCATCTTAAAAACGGCAAGGCCCCAGGTGAGGATGGAATTACAGCGGAGCTTCTGAAAGCGGGTGGGAAACCGGTACTTGAAGTCCTTCAGAAGCTCTTTAATTCCGTCATCTATGGTGGCATTACACCGGAGGCATGGAGCAGAAGTGCGGTGGTCTTGTTCTTCAAGAAAGGTGACAACGCTCTCTTGAAGAACTACAGACCGATTTCCCTTCTGAGCCGCATCCACGTGCTGTTTTCGAGAGTCATTACGAATCGTCTCGCGCGCAGACTTGACGCCTTCCAGACTCCCGAACAAGCCGGTTTCCGAAAAGGCTTTGGCACCATAGACCACATACATACCCTTCGGCAAGTCGTACAGAAGTCCGAAGAGTACAATTTGCCACTATGTCTGGCGTATGTGGACTATGAGAAAGCCTTTGATTCCGTCGAAATTTGGGCGGTGCTGCAGTCCCTTCAGCGGTGCCAAGTTGACTGTCGATATATCGAAGTGCTGAAGTGCTTGTACAGTAGGGCTACGATGGCTATCCGAGTAGAGAACCAGAGTACGAAACCTATCCAATTGCAGAGGTGTAAGACAGGGTGACGTTATATACCCGAAAGTCTTCACCGCTGCATGGGAAGACGTTTTCAAGCTTCTGGACTGAAAAGGATATGGTATTAACATCAATGGTGAGTACATCACTCACCTTCGATTTGCCGACGATATAGTCCTTATGGCAGAACCGCTGGAGGATCTAAGCACCATGCTCAATGACCTCAATAGTGTCTCCCAACGGATAGGTCTTAAGATGAACATGGACAAAACAAAGATCATCCATGTCACACCTATGCCTGTAGTTGTTGGGAGCACTAAGCTCGAAGTTGTTGACGAGTATGTTTACCTGGGACAAATAGTCCGACTAGGTAAGTCCAACTTCGACCGAGAGGTCAATCGACGAATTCAACTCGGCTGGGCAGCGTTCGGGAAACTACGTCACATCTTCTCGTCAGACATACCTCAAAACCTTAAAACGAAATTGTACAACCAGTGCATGTTGCCAGTGATGACTTACGGATCTGAGACGTGGTCCTTCACTGCTGGCCGTATGAGGAAACTCAAGGTAGCTCAGCGAGCTATGGAGAGGGCTATGCTCGGGGTTTCTCTGTGTGATAAACTTAGAAATGAGTATATCCGCAGTAGAACCAGAGTAACCGACATAGCCCAACGGATTAGTAAGCTGAAGTGACAGTGGGCCGGCCATATAGCTCGAAGGGCCGACAACCGATGGGGAAGAAAGGTTCTTGAGTGGCAGCCTCGTACCGGTAGGCGAAGTGTAGGGCGACCCCCCACGAAATGGAGTGACGACCTGGTAAGACATGTAGGAAGTCGATGGATGCAGGTGGCTCAGGACCGTGATTTGCGGCATTCCTTGGGGGAGGCCTATGTTCAGCAGTGGACTTATGAAAGGCTGTAATGATGATGATGATTTTAGATTATTATTAAAGTTAGGTTGTCTTTTTTTAATTGTCTCATTGTGGAAGTATTTTGTTACAATAGCTTAATATTTCAGGTGTATCTTAAATTAAATAAACCAAATGCTTGCATTAAAGACTGTACCCGCGCCCTTGAACTAAATTGCGACAGTGCAGCTGCATATAAATTTCGTGGACGCGCTTACAGGTAACTATTAATTATGGACAATATAATGTAAATAATTATTTACTTTGTGCCACCCATACAGTATCTTCTCATGAAATATACAACAAATTATGATTATAATAATAAATAATTATTCAAATTTATATAAAAATGTCAAAGTCTATATACAAATTTGAGCTTTCAAATATAACAAACAAGAAGTTTGGTTCATAGTTAACACATAATATACGAGTAGGTTCAAATATAACAGACAACAAATTGGACACATTTTCCATACAAGTGGTAGTTTGATGCACTATGAACTACTTAAGAAATTGAAGTGAGGATCAACATTCAGTAAAGGTTTGCTAAGATCTGCTTTTAATTTTTTAACTTAATTAGCAGTGGGGTACATCAATACAATACATAAAGCCCAGTATGGCATATTAAATTCAGTATACTGAACGTAAACTAAGTATTACATAATAATAAAAATTCGAATGGGCGATTTTCCATTTACTGGCACGGCGATGGCGCCGTTTTCCACAGCGCCTTTGCCGGTGCGGGTCTACGTTCGGTTTTCGGGCAATACTAACACAGGACGTGTAGTAGCGGTTAAGAATATTCACTACCCCATATCTTCCCGTGGGTGTCGTAAAAGGCGACAAAGGGAAACAGGCAGGAGATGGGCAGCAGCATCTTCCTGATAACAACTTACTTACAATAAAAAACTGCGGTTACCAACCCGCTCGCCAAGCGTGGCAACTATAGCAAATACCCCCCTATGATGAGAGTAACAAAGAAACGGCCCCCAGCCCCCGGCGGCCCCGCTATTCCTAGCTACGGTGGCGACCATGGTAACGGCGGGGCAGGGGGCGCTAAGAATCTCCGGTGGAGGTTCGGTTGCCACCTACAACGACTCGACTTGGCAACTTATAACGCACGCACCCTGAGGACTGACGAGAAGATCGTGGAGCTAGAAGAAGAGATAGATAAGTTACGCTGGCATATTATAGGATTATCCGAAGAGAGGGGAGGACACGGTAATCCTCGAATCCGCCAACTTGCTCTATCACCGGGAGGGCGACCATCTGTCCCAAGGAGGTGTCGGATTTATCGTCCACAAGTCTCTCGTTAACAACGTTGTAAAGATTGAGAGTGTGTCGACAAGGGTTGCGTACCTTATACTCAGAATGACCAAACGGTATTCGCTGAAGGTCATACAGGTTTACGCACCAACCTCGGCACACCCCGATGAGGAGGTGGAGGAAATGTATGAGGATATCTCTAGATCCATGCATTCCTCCAAAACCCAATATACGGTGTTAATGGGAGACTTCAATGCAAAACTAGGCACAAGAGAGAACGATGAGCTGAAAATACGGAAATTTGGAATAGGAATGAAGTCAACGCTCCGTCCCCTCGTGCTCTGTTCCAAAGTCCCGAAACCTTTTAGCTCGAGTTACAAACCCGTTTTCAGAGCCTAGAAGACTGCAATGAAGTGGACGATATGAATGACAAGCTCGTGGAAACTGTCCATGCGGTCGGAGCTAAGTTCTGCAAGACCCGCCGCAGAAGAACACAAAAACTCCGGATCACACTCTAAATCTCATGGCTGTTAGACGGGAGATGAAGCTACATTCTTCAACAGATTTGACAGCAAACAGGCAACTGAACAGACAGATCTCCAAATGCATGCGGCGGGACTTACACCACGGCAACAGTACACGTCATCGTTGGAGCCACACGCAAGTGTGAGTAACGATCCAAGAGCGAGTCTTATCCGACACTATTCCGAAGATATCCCGGACGTCAGTCTGAGCGAGATTAGAATGGCTCTCCAGCACCTTAAAAACGGCAAGGCCCCAGGCGAGGATGGAATTACAGTGGAGCTTCTGAAAGCGGGTTGAAGACCGGTACTTGAAGTCCTTCAGAAGCTCTTTAATTCCGTCCTCCATGGTGGCATTACACCGGAGGCATGGAGCAGAAGTGCGGTGGTCTTATTCTTCAAGAAAGGTGACAACGCTCTCTTGAAGAACTACAGACCGATTTCCCTTCTGAGCCGCGTCTACGTGCTGTTTTCGAAAGTCATTACGAATCGTCTCGCGCGCAGACTTGACGACTTCCAGCCTACCGAACAAACCGGTTTCCGAAAGGGCTTTAGCACCATAGACCACAAACATACCCTTTGACAAATTGTACAGAAGTCCGAGGAGTACAATTTGCCAATATGTCTGGCGTATGTGGACTATGAGAAAGCCTTTGATTCCGTCGAAATTTGGGCGGTGCTGCAGTCCCTTCAGCGGTGCCAAGTTGACTGTCGGTATATCGAAGTGCTGAAGTGTTTGTACAGTAGAGCTACGATGGCTATCCGAGTATAGAACCAGAGTACGAAACCTATCCAATTGCAGAGAGGTGCAAGACAGGGTGATGTTATTATCCCTGAAACTCTTCACCGCTGCATTGGAAGACGTTTTCAAGCTTCTGGACTGGAAAGGATACGGTATTAACATCAATGGCGAGTACATCACTCACCTTCGATTTGTCGACGATATAGTCCTTATGGCAGAATCGCCGGAGGACCTAAGCACCATGCTCAATGACCTCAATAGTGTCTCCCAACGAATAGGTCTTAGGATGAACATGGACAAAACAAAGATTATGTTTAATGTCCATGTCACACCTTTGCCGGTAGTTGTTGGGAGCACTAAGCTCGAAGTTGTTGACGAGTATGTTTACCTGGGACAAATAGTCTGACTAGGTAAGTCCAACTTCGACCGAGAGGTCAATCGACGAATTCAACTCGGCTGGGCAGCGTTCGGGAAATTACGTCACATCTTCTCGTCAGACACCTTAAAACCTTAAAACGAAATTGTACAACCAGTGCGTGTTGCCAGTGATGACTTACGGATCTGAGACGTGGTCCTTCACTGCTGGCCGTATGAGGAAACTCAAGGTCGCTCAGCGAGCTATGGAGACGACTATGCTCGGGGTTTCTCTGCGTGATAAACTTAGAAATATAGTATATCCGCAGTAGAACAAGAGTAACCGACATAGCCCAACGGAATAGTAAGCTGAAGTGGCAGTGGGCCGGCCATATAGCTCGAAGGACCAACAACCGATGGGGAAGAAAGGTTCTTGAGTGGCAGCCTCGTACCGGTAGGCGAAGTGTAGGGCGACCCCCCACGAAATGGAGTGACGACCTGGTAAGACATGCAGGAAGTCGATGGATGCAGGTGGCTCAAGACCGTGATTTGTGGCATTCCTTGGGGGAGGCCTATGTTCAGCAGTGGACTTATGAAAGGCTGTAATGATAATGATGATGATAATGATGACTAACACAGACTTCAGTTCTACAGCAGGTAAAAATGGTCTCGTCAAGTCGTCGTATTTGTTTGTTATATCTCTTACATTTAAGACGAAAATAATATAATCAACGCAAGGAAATCAAATTTTGAATTCATCCAATTTTAAAAATAAAATACTTAGAAGGAACATATACCCTATTTTAAAAGTTGGAAATGGACTCTAAAAATATTTCAACTACTTCCGCATCAACGAGGAGACACTTCATCATTTCAAAAGGTAGAGTCTCAATCTCAACGCTTCCCTTCTACTTCGGCCCGTGCACACGCACACGGCTGCAATACGTACACAATACAATACACATGCAGTTTTGCCGGCTGGCAACGAGTGGAAAGCTTGCTGTCACTGCACCGGCGACGGCACCGTCGGAAATCTTCGCCGTGCCGATAAATGGAAAACCGCGCAATGACGAATTGAGATACTCAATGAGCCCGCTTGCATTCGTTGGCTTCATATCGGACTAGTCAAGGGCATATATCCGCTCGTACATACCTTTCCAACCTATAAAAAAAGTATACAAATGAGCAATTGCTACGGTCGGATTATACAGGATTAGTATGGGACGTGAAACATATATACCTATAGAAAACTTCGTATATTGATACAAAGTAATGCTATGAAAGTGCAAAACGGTGGCGCCGCGTCGGTGGCAATAAATGTAACTATTTTTGTTTTTTGGTTTGAATGAACAGTTGAATTATTACAAAAGTTAAACTGGTGTTTAATTTATTTTGAATTTTAATGAAATGATAGAAAATAAATGAGCCTCTAACGAGAATTTAATATTTATAGAGTAAAGATGGTCTAAAAATGCATTTCAGACAATCGTAAATTCTAAAGAATCGACGTTGTGGAAAGTCACTACAGACGTGTTAACAGACTACTGTCAACACGGACCTACACAGATTTGTGGTCTATCATAACAAGAAATACTCGCGATTGAACACCGATTCCTTCCAAGGGTGATTGTGGAGGCTATTGGAATCCGAAAACATTCTAATTTTAATAAGAAATGGCCGGGTGCTACCATCAGCTTGGGACCCTATAATTAATAAAATTAAATTATAGACTCCCAAGCAGATGATAAAAGATACTATAAGCTCGTTTTGCTTAGATCTGTCCAAAAAACAATGATTTTAATCTCAAGATAGCCGTGATATTAGAATGTCGAACATCACAGTTTCTCCGTGACCATGGGTGCTATAAAGTTACTCGAAACGTCGAGAATATAGATAGAAAATCTTTAAAACCAGATTTATTCAATGTGTTGTGTTAAAATTAGTAAACAATAATAATATCGGTATTTCGTAAGAAATTTCAAAATATAATTCGCCCGTTGTTTTCCCTTTATATTCCCTATTAGGTATTAAGTATATATTAATTTATCGTAACAAGAAAATCCTTTCAGTAGTCACGATAAAACCGAAAATTCTTTGAATAAAGAAAATATTCGCGTTGTAATATAATGCGTGTAATAAAATTAAAAATAATATTAATTCCATTGCCAATTTCGTTAGTTATAAATCCTAATATATTTATTTTTAATGAAATCTCTATGTTACCAATAGAAAGCAGTTGGGCATAATCTTCAGATATCAGTAACAATCATTATGTAATTAATGTTGTTACGAAAGGAATAAGAAACTTAAGTAGCAAGTTCTAGAAAGTTCTTATGAATGTCAATATAGATAGCTATATTACAAGTATCGTCATCTTTAACTTATACCAAATATATAACATACCCAGGTTAACATCGAAAAATATAGGTACAAAAAATGGGCTTGTCTCATATCAAGACCCTGGGCACGCCACCCACGCGCGATCCCCATACATTTTGCGTGTTGTAATATAACGTGTGTAATAAAATTAAATATAATATTAATTTCATTGCCAATTTCGTTAGTTATAAATCCTAATATATTATTTTTTAATGAAATCTCTATGTTACCAATAGAAAGCAGTTGGGCATAACCTTCAGATATCAGTAACAATCATTATGTAATTAATGTCGTTACGAAAGGAATAAGAAACTTAAGTAGCAAGTTCTAGAAAGTTCTTATGACTGTCAGTATATATAGCTATATTACAATTATCATCATCTTTAAGTTATACCAAATTTATATATAATACCCAGGTTAACATCGAAAAATATAGGTACAAAAAATGGGCTTGCCTTATATCAAGACCCTGGGCACGCCACCCACGCGCGCTACTCATACATTTTGCACCAAATGCCGCACTTTTTGATGCTTCATATAAAAAATTTGGGCTTGCCCTACACCCCGACCCTGAGCACGCCACGGTAACATATAAATAATACAAGTATAGTAACACTTATGATAATCCCTCATGCTTACCTTCTTACAATCTCACGGCATAATAAATCCTGACCAGAAAAACAACTATATGTGTTTTGGTGGCAAGGATTTGAGTTTAGGTTCTGCAAGCTACAATAGCCAGATATTCTGAAAACTAAAACATGTGATTGTTCCTACGTAATTAAATGTTTGGGATAGCACTAAAGTACAATATATTAATGACGGCTTATTTTTCACTTAAATATTTTTAAAAATGTTTAGATTGCTGGGCAAATTTGAAGAGGCATCCCATGATCTTTGCGAATCACTGAAAATTGATTATGATGACCAAGCTAATGAATGGTTAAATGATGTAAAGCCAAATGCTGAGAAGCTTCGTCAACATAAACTTACCGTTCAACGCAAAAAAGAGGAGAAAGAGGTATGTTTAGAAAGAAGTTTATAATATTTTAAAAGTAAAATTTAATTTGAATATGCGAGATTCCTGCATTATTTTATAGTTCTTAAACCTTTATCGCAGGTACTTGTGCATTTACTTGCATAATATGATACTTTTAGCAGATCTCTGCAGTGTTGAATCACTATTATATTACACTTACAGCATCGTGAAAAGCTGCGTAGATTACGCAAGGCTCAAGAGGCTCGCTCCAATGCGGCAAAGGCACAAGCTCAGGCACATGCACAGGCACCACCTAGTGGTATGCCAGGTGCCGGAGGTTTTTCTTCTCACGACTTCGCCAGTTTATTCATGGATCCTGAGATTATGACAGCATTCCAGGTTAGCATATTATTAATTGTAAAAAATTAAGCAACAGCCTATTGGCACATGCTTTACCTCAATCTGATAGATTTTGGAGATGTTTCCGCCGCGCTGTACCATGTTTGTCGGGTATTATATGATAGCAGATGTCACATGGCTTTGAAATAATTAATTTTAATTTTTTTTTTTAAACTGTTACTAAATTAGATTTTAAAATTAACATCAGCAATTTTATTACTACTAGCAGCGATAAAAATCGTGTTCCTCATCAACTGATATGAAATTTAAAGCGAGCACTTATCCGTGCTCCCTGCATATGATTAATTCGACCCCATCAGTTGACGGTACTTATTATTATTACTTACGGGCTATATGACTGCGCCCAAACCTTATTTGTTAATACATTATTTCTAGGTATACTTTACAGTTTCAAGAAAAATAACTTAATATCCTTAAATGTTACCACTGCTGGATACAGACCTACTCTCATTCTAAAATGTTATGGAGCATAAAAGATCCACTTTGTTACTCCACTGTAAATTGATGCACTTTTCGTAAACTTTTATTTAATTACTCAGACATGCACACAGTAAATCAAAGCATGCAATTGCGATTAACAATTTTGGTTGATAAACCATTAGGTGCAAGATCAGTCTGGTTGCTTTTATATACCATGAAATTTAACAAGTGTTGCAGTGTTCTCATGGAAAAGATTTTCTTTTACGTGACATGTAATATTATAATAACTTTTTATATTTTCATAAACAGGATCCAGAAGTTATGAATGCATTACAAGATTGTTCTGTAAATCCAGCCAACTTTGTCAAATACCAAAATAATCCCAAGATTGCTGCTGCTATACAGAAACTGCAAGCGAAACTTGGCAAAGGTGGTTCAATGCCATTTGGTGGTGGCTTTCCGCCAGGTTTGTAATAATTTCTATTTTATAAAATAATTATTTTCACTAACAGTGTTATCTTTAATCATCATCATCATTACAGCCCTTCACAAGTCCACTGCTGAACATAGGCCTCCCCCAAGGAATGCCACAAAGCACGGTCCTGAGCCACCTGCATCCATCGACTTCCTGCATATCTTACCAAGTCGTCACTCCATCTAGTGGGGGGACGCCCTTAGTTATATGGCCGGCCCATTGCCACTTCAGCTTACTAATCTAATACTAATCCGTTGGGCTATGTCGGCACTCTGGTTCTACTGCGGATATCCTCATTTCTAAGTTTATCCCTCTCCATAGCTCGCAGAACGACCTTGAGCTTCCTCATCCGGCCAGCTGTGAAGGACCACGTCTCAGTTCCATAGGTCGTCACTGGCAACACGCACTGGTTGTAGTCTCGTTTTCAAGTTTTGAGGTATACCTGACGAGAAGATGTGCCGTAATTTTCCAAACGCTGCCCAACCGAGTTGAATCCGTCGATTGACCTCTCGGTCGAAGTTGGACTTATCTAGTCGGACTATTTGTCCCAGGTAAACATACTCGTCAACAACTTCGAGCTTAGTGCTCCCAACAACTACCGGCAAAGGTGTGACAAGGACATTAAACATGATCTTTGTATTGTCCATGTTCATTTTAAGACCTATCCGTTGGGAAACACTATTGAGGTCATTGGGTGTGTGTGTGTGTGTGTGTATATATATATATAATACAGTATGAGTATACTATGTATACTCATACTATATGCTTCGGTCTTCAAGCGATTCTACGATAAGGACTATATCGTCGGCAAATCGAAGGTGAGTGATGTACTCGCCGTTGACGTTAATAATATCGTATCCTTTCCAGTCCAGTAGCTTGAAAACGTCTTCCAATGCAGCGGTGAAGAGTTTCGGGGATATAACGTCGCCCTGTCTTATACCTCTCTGCAGTTGGATAGGTTTCGTACTTTGGTTCTGTACTCGGATAGCGATCGTAGCCCTATTGTACAAACACTTCAGCTTTTCGATATACCGATAGTCATCTTGGCGCCGCTGATGGGACTGCAGCATCGCCCAAATTTCGACGGAATCAAAGACTTTCTCATAGTCCACATACGCCAGACATAGTGGCAAATTATACTCCACGGACTTCCGTACAATCTGCCGAAGGGTATGTATATGTGGTCTATGGTGCTAAAGTCTTTTCGGAAACCGGCTTGTTCGGGAGGCTGGAAGTCGTCAAGTCTGCGCGCGAGGTGATTCGTAATGACTCTCGAAAACAGCACGTAGACGCGACTCAGAAGGGAAATCGGCCTGTAGTTCTTCAAGAAAGCATTGTCACCTTTCTTGGAGAACAAGACCACCGCACTTCTGCTCCACGCCTCCGGAGTAATGCCACCATGGAGTACGCAATTAAAGGGCTTCTGAAGGACTTCAAGTACCGGTTTTCCACCCGCTTTCAGAAACTCCGCTGTAATTCCATCCTCGCCTGGGGCCTTGCCGTTTTTAAGGTTCTGGAGAGCCATTCTAATCTCGCTTAGACTGACGTCCGGGATATCATCGGAATAGTGTCTGATAAGACTCGCTCTTGGATCGTTACTCACACTTACGTGTGGCTCCAACGATGATGTGTACAGCTGCCCATAGAACCTCTCAAAATCTCAGGTCTACCGGACACGACGCTGCCACATTCGATCTTCAGCTTCAACAGTTGACTCTTTCTGCCAGACAGATCTCTAGCAGAGGCTGGAGGCCTGGTTCCGCTCGATCGCTTCTTCAATACGAGCAGTATTAAAGTTGCGTAAGTCCCGCCGCATGCATTTGGAGATCTGTCTGTTCAGTTGCCTGTATGCTGTCAAAGCAACTGAAGACTACAGCTTCATATCCCGTCTAACAGCCATGAGATTAAGAGTGCGATCGGAGAGTTTTTATATTCTTTTGCGGCGGGTCTTGCAAAACTTAGCTCCGACCGCATGGACAATTTCCACGAGTTTGTCATTCATATCGTCCACTGCATTGCAATCTTCTAGGCACTGAGAATGGTTACGTAGCCCGAGCTGAAAGATTTCGGGACTTTGAATTAGAGCACGAGGGGGATGGAGCTTTGACTTCATTAGACGTGACCTCTCCAACTTAACCTTTAGGTTCAGTGTGCTTCTCACCATTCGGTGATCGCTGCCTGTTTTCACCCTCGCGATCACTGAGACATCACTGAACAGTTGTCGTCTAGTCGTCATAATGAAGTCAATCTCATTTTTTGTCGAACCCTAGGGGCTTGACCAGGTCCTCTTCTTCGTTCCAGGTCCGCTTCTGGAAGAAAGAGTCCATCATAAAGAGTCCCCCTTTGTCCATGAAGTTGGCCAGCTGCTGGCCCCTTGGGTTCCGTTGCCCTATTCCGAATTTCCCTACTTTCAGCTCACCGTTCTCTCTTGTGCCTAATTTTGCGTTGAAGTCTCCCATTAACACCGTATAGTGGGTTTTGGAGGAATGCATGGCTCTAGAGATATCCTCATACCTTTCCTCCACCTCCTCATCGGGGTGTGCCGAGGTTGGTGCGTAAACCTGTATGAACAGGTTTACGCACCAACCTCGGCACAATCGGCCTTCAGCGAATACCTTTTGGTGATTCTGAGTATAAGGTACGTAAACCTCGTCGAAACACTCCCAATCTTTACAACGTTGTTAACGAGAGACTTGAATCGATAAACCCGACACCTCCTTGGGACAGATGGTCGCCCTCCCGGTGATAGAGCAAGTTGGCGGATTCGAGGATTACCGTGTCCTCCCCCCCCTACGGACCTCGGATAATCCTATGATATTCCAGCGCAACTTGTCTATCTCTTCTTCCAGCTCCAGGATCTTCTAGTCAGTCCTCAGGGTGCGTGCGTTATAAGTTGCCAAGTCGAGTCGTCGTAGGTGGCAACCGAACCTCCACCGGAGATTCTTAGCGCCCCCTGCCCCGCCGTTACCATGGTCGCCACCGTAGCCAGGAATAGCGGGGCCGCCGGGGACTGGGGGCCGTTTATTAATGTCATTGCTCATGTGGGGTATATTGCCATAGTTGTTACGCTTGGCGAGCGGGTTGGCAACCGCAGTTTTTTTATTGTTGTTTTGCTGTTTTCAGAAAGATGCTGCTGCCCGTCCTCTGCCTCAGTTTCCCTCTGTCGCCTCTTACGACACCCACGGGAAGATATGGGGTAGAGTATTCTTATCCGCCAATACACGGGGTCTAATAATCTCTAGTCTTTAAGATTAGAGATTATTGGTCATTGGTGTCTGACCCAAGATCAGTTTGTAGCCGAATTACTTATTTATTAATTAATTGAAACAAAAATTAAAAGTAAAGTTAAAATACGTTCAATTCCGTGAAATTCAGTTATATTTAAGGTCGACCGTGAGATAATTTGTTGACGTGTTCGGCTATCTCCGCCGAACATAATCCGTTTACTTTACTATCACGTTATCACGCGATGACGCAGTTTGGGTCTCGCACTCGCGCATGGTAGCCTCGTTTCCATCGACGCCCCTTTTGGCTCCTCGGACCATTATCTTGTGCAGAGTATGGTGCCACTCACACTAACGTCGCGGTTGCATTCTGCAGGCTGCCGCCGTGTTTGGCACTAGGTCGGCCGATTGGGATAGGATGCGGTATTTTTTACATCCTACTCTTGGTGGCGGGTTTGCTTGTTCGCCGGACGATCCCAGCGTTGTTGCTGATTCTGTCGCTGATGTGGTACTTCTGGCTTTGGAACTTCTTATTCTATCTTCTGTGGTGCTCATCGGAGGCAGATCCCAGCCATGGTTTGGTCGCTCCTACAAAATAGCATCACGCTATAAGCAGGAGTGCTACCGGACCTGGGCTGACGCATTAACATCTCGGGATATAAACAGCGCTCTTAAAAAGAAGTGTAATTCCGCCTCCGGGTCTTTCAAAAGAGTCATTGCCAAGGCAAGCTCATAGGATATAGACAAATTGGCAAGAAGCTAGTTCGCCTGATGACAAGTGAATGCTGTGGCCAATAGACATCTATGCTTATTCTCAATTAAGAATCAAAATACACCCCTGAGGACTAAGATGGAATGTCCCATTTCCAGTAAAAAGGGTCTCCGGTTCTCTACACTCACCATACGAAACACAGCATTAAGCTGCTATTTTACGTTGGTATTCTGTGAGAGCGTGGTCCTACCCCGGTCGAGCGACCCATTCGTGTTGCAACTATAATATAGCTGTAGTGTGGTTCTACCATGCATATTCATTTTTGCTTTGCAATTTTGCATAATAAGATATATTTGCGCTTAAAAATTAATTAATTGCGGTGACTGACAGTATGGCGCCTATTTGTGGCATCTGCGCCTACTCTGCGTTTCCTCGTATATACCACTAGCTGTTCGTACTTTGTGTACGTTCGTTACGTTCGTGTTCCGACTTCGCTCGCCTGGAATTTTTTTGCATGAAACCCTAAAATAAAAGTAGCCTAAGTTACTCCTTGTAACATCAGATATCTGCCAGTGAAAGTCTCATCCAAATCGGTTCACAGGTTTTTGCGTGATGCCTGTTAACGCCAAAATAGTTCGCAGGTGACAGATTTTTTTTCAGACAACAATTATCCGTATATTTTGGCCAATTTACACAATATTTTTATGTATTTATAGCTTGTTATTCTGATGTATGAGCTCTATTATTGTCAAGTTTCATTAAAATCCATTCAGTAGTTTCTGCGTGAAAGAGTAACAAACATCCATACATCCTCACAAACTTTCACATTTATAATATTAGTAGAATATTTCGTGAGAGGCACGAGGCGCTTTTCTCTGATGTCATTCGTAAAAAATCTTTCGTTTTTTTTTTTCGTATTTGTTCAAAACTTTAGTCTCGGCCAAATCTTGGGTTGTTTTCGGCCGAAAGCCGAATATGTGACCAAAGTAGGCTTGGGCAAAAAATATCGAAATATCGATATTTTTTAATAGAAATATCGATATATATCGTCGATTCTTTAAATCACGATATATCGATATTTATTTTAGAGTATCGAATTCGTATCAATTTCGATATATTTTAAAATGTTGTATCGTTTTTAAATCATGCAATTGATGGCGATATATCGATATATTTTTAGCCCTTGCCCATCCCTAGACCAAAGGTGCTTTTTTGTCGAGGAATCGTCGTACACTATTGTCTATTGTTGTAACTCGTTTTCACTTGTTGAATTAATGTAAAAAAAATTTAGACCCAAATATTTTTAAAATCAACTATGAATTATTTCTGTAATTATATTAATACTGTCATAAATTTGTATGTAAAGTATGTTACAAACCCTATTAAGATATTTTTCTGAATAATTCTTATTTATAAGTAGAAATATAAGGAATGTTTTATACTTTCAGGCTTTGGGGGTGCCGGTGGTCGGGGCGCAGCAGGGCCCGATGATGATGTTGGTCTTGACTAAAACTTAAAATTGTAATTCCAGCATTTATTGAAAGTTATTGTTAAATCACTTTCACAAATTATATTCTTAGGTTTAATATTTCAAATTTAAGAGTTCTTCATCAGTCACATTCTTATGTATAGGCATAATTTAAAGGAGTTTTTTTTTCTGAATCCGATATCTGAAATTATTTTTATCATAAGATTTTTTTCAAGGGTGCATTAAATTAGCTCAACTATATGTATAACTACAGAGTGTTGCATTTATATAATCTACAGTATATTTTTATTTATAAAAATGTCCTATTATTATAAAAAATTACTATACCAAATGCATTTTTCTTACATGTTAATAAATAAACAATGCTTTGAATTTCCTATTATTTACTAAGTAATTAAATATATTTCACAAGCAATAATACTATTCACTCCGTATTTTAGTAAGGATAAAAATTTTGTGGTACATTTTAAATTTACATGCCATTGATTAAAGCTTTAGAAAAAAATGATAATGATAATTAATATTGTAGTTATATATAAATATATATACCCTTACTCTTATTGATAGGCTTATATCATTTGCTGCATATTAATCATTATTGTAACTGTTATGTGGCTGAGCATAGTGTCGTTTTTTAAAAAGCTTTCTTTATTATTTTTGATTTGAAAGAACTTAGGTTAGGTAGTTTTTTAATTCTAGTTTAAGGTATTATTTTCCTAGCGTTGCAACTAGAGACTGGTGGTTGATTTATTATTGAAAATACTGGAATAATTATCCAAGTTGGTTTTAAACAATTTTATAAAATAAAAAAATGCATGACTTTTTTTTCTAATAATAGTCTTAAAGTATAATTAACATTATATTTTCATCATTCATTATGTTCTGGCAGTTTCCTACAGTAAAGAGTATAAAACTTTATTCTTTACTCTTCAGTTCGTAGTCTGAATTTATAAATAGGAGCAGATAATTACGCTAAGAGTTTTATTAAATAAGTCTGATTGTATTTTAAAGGTGAACTGGCTGATTGAACTTATAATTTTATATTAAATGGTTAATAAAAATCTCGTTTATTTTATCCAAATTTAAACAGTACTCAACAACCACGGCAGTGAAGTTTAGAGGAATTTGCTAGAGATCTGACAGAATTGTTTATGTTGACCAATAGTTATTGACATTTTCTTTAATAGAAATATTTAAATAAATTAAAATTAATTTATATCTCTATACATAAATTAATGAACATTACACGTTAAAAATATCAATTAGTAATCATATCGATGTTGTAACATATAAATAATTAAAAAATTTCTACAGCCGACTTCAATATAAGTTATTTAAGAATAACTCAAAAACTATTGGTCTTACCTTGATCAAATTCATATGGGACTACATCTGAAGTACCAGCTTTCAAATAAAAAAAGAATCATCGAAATCGGTTCTTCCAGTAAAAAGTTATGAGGTTACACACATAAAAAATCAAAAAATTAATTTAAAATTAAAAATTTTGTACAGCCGACTTCAATATAAGTTATTAAGAATAACTCAAAAACTATTGGCTTGACCTTGATCAAATACATATGGGACCACACGAGAACTACCAGCTTTTAATTAAAAAAAGAATTATCAAAATCGGTCCACCCAGTAAAAAGTTATGAGGTAACACACATAAAAAAAAATACAGTCGAATTGAGTACCGTCTCCTTTTTGGAAGTCGGCAGAAACGATCAAAATAAAGAGTACCGATGGCACTAGAGGAATTGCAGGTGCGTTGCCAGCCTTTAATCGGTTCAGTGCGGGAGACACGCCAGGCGTGCCATCGATTACTTTTGTGTGTGGCGTATGACACGCGAATCGTGTCTTTTTAAAAATCGTTATAACTCGCTCAAATTGCTTTTATGGAAAATTTATTCAGAACAAAATATTAATTATTTTGCGAGTAGTTCATGCATGCAGCTTCGTTTCTGGATATTTTGAAAATTTGAAATTTTTAGGGGTTGACAACCTTTTTTTAACGTGTACATGGTACTATTTTTACTTTGTAGGTTTTAAATCATGTTATGGAAAAATTGTCTAATAAGTAACAAATAATAGCACTCATTGCGATCGCTCACAAACTCAAGTTGTAAATAAATTTCTTTGCTATTCTTACTAATTAGACGTTTTGAGATCGACTTTACTTTTACATTTGTATAACATTAAATAATATTTAACATTTGTAAATATCAATGAATGATATACCTTATTTTTTTCTCTCTTCATTGTTTGATATGTACAAATATTATTAGGTGAAAATTTAATTTAATAAAAACCAAGGTTGCCACGGTGATTTAGCAACTTATATAAATGATTTTTTTATAACAACAAAAAATAGTACAAAAGGTTTGTAATCTCTTCATAAAAAAAGTCACTTTCTCTCAATTTCAAAGAAAACGCGTAAAAAAACACGTATCCACGTATAGTTACCCACTAAAAACAAGTATCCTTCCATTTGTAACTTATGTTTGATGTCAAATAAACTTAATTAGGTCTAAACAAGTAAAAAAAGCATAAAAAAGAACATTACTTTTACACATGGCGGATGGCACAATAGGCGTGTCATTTTTGTCTGTGGCGCTTGACGCGCCCGGCGTGTCATGAAGTATTTGTTCGCCGCCACAGCTAAAAGTTGTCGAAAATTGGTGCCGCAACGAATCGGTTAATAAATTAAAATAAACATTTTGTACAACCGACTTCAATATAAATAATTAAGAATAACTCAAAAACTATTGGTCAGACCTTGATCAAATTTATATGGGACCACATATGAAGCACCAGCGTTCAAATAAAAATCAATCTTAATAGTTAAAGTTACAGCCTATATACGTCCCACTGCTGGGCACAGGCCTCCCCTCATTTCTGAGAGGGTTTTAGTGCAAGGAAGTGTCCGCCGCGCTGCCCCAATGCCTGTTGGCGAACTTCACATGTCTTCAAAATATTTTTTTCTTATTTCTCAGACATGCAGGTTTCCTCACGATGTTTTCCTTCACCGGCGAGCACCTGGTAAATCAGCACTAAAAATTGCAATTAACAATTGTATTGGTCCTAAGTTGCTCGCGTACTGTGAAAGTTACAGCGAGCACTAACTATATCTGAGCTACCACGACAATCTTAATAGTATTATACTACTATTTCATGCTATGTTCTAGGCAAGAGCGGTCCTTCCTCGTTCAAGCTGACCTATGAGGGCTGTCACAACTTATTCTGTACCCAGGGCAGCGCCATATTGGAATGAGTTGAAATTTGACAGATCTCATGGTGAGAAACTTAAATTGTTAGTATGGAGTGTAGAGTAGAAGGAGGACCATCTCTGTATATGAAAAGTGTCCCTAAAAACGCGTCCAATAAGGGTGGCGCTGCAGTAGCATAGGATAAATTTAAAAAAAAGCGCCAAAATTTATTAGAATAAAATGGAGAAATAAACAAAGACCGACCAATCCGCTTGGTTTTGTACTACGTAAATAGTTGAGGTTTTGTATACTGGCATTTTACTAACTACTCTAGTCATGAATTTTTTTTTTTGTGATTTATCATGCAATCAGTCGATGGACTATGAGCAGATTGGTTGTAGGACAGATAGGCGTGCAGAGAAAACTTCCCCAGCGGGAAGCACTCCATAAGTCTCAACTATACATTGTCAAGTATATGCCTTCTCTTTAGGCGACGAATCGCTTGTGGCATTGTCAACTGCCATGCTAATTGATTTGGATGGTTGCCAAGTCTTGTTTTGTAGTTGCAGCTGTAGCGCCTAATTTCTTCCTTAACTGAGTTCATTTTAAGGTGTTCATGGATTTCAGATGTTCTTATGAACCATGGTGCGTTGGAAAGTTGTTTAAGTATGTAGTTTTGGGTTCTATGAATGATTTCGATGTTGGAGTCACATGCTGATCCCCAAAGTTGTATGCCGTATGTCCATATCGGTTTTATAATGATGTTATATAGCAGGAGCTTATTGTCTAAGGAAAGTCTGGAATTCCTTGCGAGCATCCAATACAGTCCTCTGTATCTATGGTAGATCTCATCCTTTTTGGTTTGGATGTGCTTCTTCCAAGTGAGCCTTCTATCCAAGTACATGCCCAAGTACCTAACGTTGTCACTTTGCGGGAGCGAATTATTACGCAATGAGACAGGCGGACAGTTTCCTCGACGCAAGGTAAACGTAACATGGACTGATTTTGTGGCACTAGCCTTTATTTTCCACTTTGATAGCCATTTGTCAATCTCATCTAGACTATGTTGTAGGATTGCTGAAGCATCGTCAGGACTTCTACTGCAAGCAAGAACAGCAGTATCATCCGCAGAGGTAGCCACAGTGACGTTGTCAATTTGTGGTAGGTCATTTGTGTAAATTGTGTAGAGCACAGGACCAAGCACTGAGCCTTGTGGCACACCAGCCTTAATTGGATGGAACGTGGAAGTATGTTCACCTTCTTTGACTTGAAAGATTCTATCGGTCAGGTAAGACTTCAGTAATCAGAAGAATGTATGAGGTAAAAGAGATTTAATTTTAAATAGTAGCCCTGTATGCCAAACCTTATCAAAAGCCTGCTGCACATCCAGGAATGCAGAGGAGCAGTATTCTTTATGTTCTAGTGCATTTCTGATTGTTCTGCAAACCCTATGTACCTGTTAAATTTTTTTTTGTGAAATTTTTTAAATATTTTAATTCAGCTGACTTCACTCCGTCTACAACAGCTATATTCATATCGTAGTTTTTCAGACGCCAGCGCTATTGTGGTGGGTTTTGGAACCTCTATTTTCAGTATATATTGGGACACTTTCAACTTTCGCACCTTATAAGATAGTTCTCCTTCTACTCTACACTCCATAATTGTTAGGAAAATGTAAAGATTAATGTTTCTTAATGCCGTGTAGTGGCGGTTAAGAATATCCACTACCCCATATCTTCCCGTGGGTGTCGTAAAAGGCGACAAAGGCAGGAGATGGGCAGCAGCATCTTCCTGATAATAGCCAAAATAACAATA